TAGACGATCTATCTGCATAAAATGCAACGTGTTCATGGCGATGAAAATGCCGGTTGTTGTAATTCCGCGTAGTCCTCTAGGACGATTAAAATGTAAAATATGTTCAAAATTATACGTGCCGCGCTGATTTTACTTTCAACAGCGTATACTCCTCAAAATACCGAAACGTGACACAGAAATCGAAATCAAATGTCCCCTGCCATCGGCACGTTCTGTGTGAAGACAACGCATCCCACCTAGAAGTTCCGGTCACTTGCCTTCTTCCATCACAGCTGGCCAGCGTACATCACAAAACGCCTTTCAGTTCCAAGGACAGAACACAAAAAGCAAAATCAGGGTCAACACTACGAGATCCGGCCACTGGCGGCTTGTACAGGCTCAGTCGGATGTCACTGGACTGTTGAACAGAGCCAACTGACGTTCTTTTGTTTATTCGAAAGAAGGGCCATGTTTGAGAAACCCTCCTTTAAATTGCTTGTAGAGGAGGAGAGAAAGAATAATTAGTTTAAGGGCTGAATGTTTCAATCTTAAAAGACGAACGTTATGATGACAGTGAATTATGAGTTTGTAAGAATTTGGAACGCTGGCCTATTTTATACGATCTGAAGCCTTCATGGCGACTAAGTATAATGAATTCTTCTCGGGCTACCAGCCGTGTCAGGTGCTTCAAAGGCGAAAAAACCAACGTTTCGTTCGAGAACCATCTTCGTCCTCGTCCTCAGGGTGCACAACAATACGCCACCGGTTCCTGTCCCGCGCCAAATGAATCTAATCCACACCCTCAAAATCGATGTCCAAAAGATCCATTTTAATATTATTCTCCCATTTACACCCAAGCCTTCTGAGTGGCCTCTTCCCTTAAGACTTACGAACAAAACAATATGTGCTCATTTCTCATCTCCCCTATGCGCGCTACATGCCTCGTCCATCTCATTCTCCTGGTTTCATCACACAAAATACCTCTATTACCATACACTCAGTATTTGTATTCTCTTTGTGCCCTCTTCCGCTGTAGGCCCACAAATAATTTTTGTTCTCTTTGTTGCCAATCTTCGTTTTTCATCAACTACTCTCATTCTTCACAAAAAAGTAATTTGTTCTCATTCAATACAGTCGGAGTAGCAGACATGCAACGCCTGCCTGTTCGGATAGCGATTAACCTACAGCACAAGTAGGTTGGTTACGTTACAACAGCCCAATTAAAACTAGGGTTTTATCCCGTAGATAGTTCCGCTTGGCTCCAAGTTGGTTTGCGTGGAAAGCCCGAATCGATACAAACTGATTTCAGTCATAGCAAGAATTCGGAAAGATTCTGTACTGGGTGTATAAAAAGAAAGGTGTGGAAAGAAACTCGAAGGCTAGTATCAGTTAGACTGTCACGATTTGTTTTTCATTTGCACAGGACTCAAGCTGACATTTATAACGTGGGGTTCGATAAGGTATCTCAGATATGAAATCCAGAAAGTTAAGACCTGCTCGTGGTGCAGAAGGGAAATCACAGCCTCACATATTTTCATTCTCTGGTTGAGGAAGGCCAGAGATGTACAACGAACTGGAACTAAACGCGCGAATGAGAGGGTAAAAGAAGAGGTGTCCAATCCAGTTAATGCCTCTGGTTCCGGTGATAAAATGGTGATAACTATTAAAGAAATTAGTGCTGAAGAGTAGGTGGGCAGGTTGTAAATTTCGGTATTGGTTCCTTAACCATTTGCAGTCCATTTTTATAGCATTTTGGGTAATAATTCACCTTGTGGATCGCATTGTGTGTGTGGAGAAGAGAATGTTCCTGCTATAGTAATTTAGGAAGCTCCGCTGCGACTGGCTGACCAGTCTTGCATTCACAAAGTGACCCATAAAGATGGGCTTTATGTACCTGTTATTGTCCGTACTGTTGAAATCCCCTACACACACGATATATAGAGCAGGCATTTAATTTCAGAGGCTTTACATACTTTCATCCTTACTTCTTTTGTCTTCTATCCTTCTAGTTTTTTGTAACAAATTATCTAATGGACACACTCTTAGTGACACCTAATAAAGAATAAAGAATTACTTTCTACAAAACGGTAAAATAACCGGCCAGCAAAGTATTAAAAAACTTGATAATGAACTGTCATTAAAATTATAATAGCAGTGCAACGAAAGTTGGCTAAGAACAATCCTAATGTCGATTCAGTTTGCCACTTTTAGGAGAGTTTTACGTAATCTTAACAGAAAACAAATATCTATAAATGAATTTTCGTTTCTGGTTACACAGTTCCGCGCTTAGACACATGTTTACCCTGAAAAATCTCGTCTCCTCCACGGAAAAGGGCTGCAGTGTTTTGGTTGCCATCAGAAAAGGCTGACATTTCGGTCAGAGTTCGCAGATAACCCAAATGAGACTTTTAGTGGTTTACCTCAGTCTCTGGACTGGACTGAAATCAGATCTGGACTTAGCTAAAATCGAGGACTACAGCGACGGTCTGTTTAGCAGGAAGCCAAGCAAGGAGAAACAGCCGACCTGTCCGTGGTCCTATCCTTGAGGAAGGGCAAGGAGAAATAACAGCTGCTTTTCTAAGTTTTCATCAGACATATAATTCTGCACAGTTGGTGAAGCCAGGCAAATTATATTAATGACACTGCGACAACAATAACCCGGCAATCAATGAGATCAGAATGGACATACGACGTCAGATTACTAGCAATACACATTATTCCTGCCTACAAAAACTTCTTTCTTAACCCCACATAAACAAATGCCTTTGCATGATAAGGAAAGAGGCTAATACCGGAACTTGTTACTTGTAATCTTGGAATATTCCGAAAGTCTGTAAGCCTTTTCTCTAATATCAGTAGCGTTTTCCATAAACTTATTATTGTATACAAAAAAGCCATCGTAAATGGATTAAAAAAGTATATATCAACCTCGTTTAATACTGATTAATTCCACATGGAGCGAAATCCTTTTTTGAGGAGATGATAGTCACTCAGGTAGTCTAGAAATATCCTCCCGCCTTTTACAGAATCCGAAAGTTCATTACTATATTCTCAAGAGCGCGATATTGAAACGTTTCTTGAAACAGACGAATCCAGTCCACATCCCACCAGTCGAAGAAGAAGAAGAAGAAGAAACAACTGATAACATGCAAGAAGAAAGCGGCTTACTTCCGGAATTTCACAAAACTTGGTTTGTAGTTAAAGTTCCAATTGTGCTCAATAAAATACAATGATGCTCTTGCCAATGACGATGGCCAAGAAGGTGAGTTATTTCGAAATTTAATTTACGTTCGTTTGTAGACCAACAACGCTTCAACTCCAAATAAAATCGGTGATACTGTCAATGACTTCGTTAATTTAGTGACCCGCCCCTACCAAATATTTGCACACGTCTTGTAACTTGAGATAGCGTGGCTTTATCGGCGTGACTCATGCTCGGAGCAAAAATGGATTCACAACATGACAGGCCTAACAAAACAGAACAGAGGGAACGTCACTCTACTCGATGAAGACAGGGGTTTTTGGCTTTTTAGTTTCTCTGGCGGATTACTTTACGGATCTGTGTCAATTCAGGCTACGCAGACTTCAACTACCTGAAAGTTATGAATGTCACTGTTTTGAGCTGTCGCCGCGCTTTCCATGTTCAAAACAGAAAGACAAATGGGTCTTTTATTCTGTTATATTGTAGTTAATTGAATAAAAATTTCCTTGGATATTATCCATCGTCTAGTAAATATAAAACGTAAAACGACGTTTCGGAGATGGGACTCTATCTCCGTCTTCAGGTTCCTACACAGTTGGGCCCACTTGATAGAGCTAATCCCTATCCTATTTACTAGACGATGGATAATATCCAAGGAAATTTTTATTCAATTGACTCTTCACCATCGTCAAGAAGTTTTAGATTTGATATATATTATAGTTGTTTATGACTACACTATATTTCAACAGTTGATCCCGTTAAAGTATAAATAATAATTTATTTCTGTATCGTAATCGAATTTCAATTAATTTTCCTCAGCAAAACTGCCCTACGTTCGCATATTATGCATGACAAAATATAAGAACGTAAGAGGTTAAACAGAATTATGGGACTTTGTAACATGCCCATTGCATGGTCACGTTCAAAAGTGCGACGACATGCCGTCGGAGGCCACCGCCACTAATATATAATATCTTACCATAAGCCGAAGTAATAAATCATGTATTATAGGCGTACGTATGTATAGAGCCTATATCGGTACGTTTCCATAAATTTTTTTGGCTTAGTCTAACTCTAAAGTTCGCATGGAATGTGAATGGTGTAGCCTATCCCGAGCCAATGGGAGCAGGCACCTATAAACCTAGCCCCACACACACCCTATTGGCATATTCATCGCCCTGATGACGGAGGCAGTATGACTTCTGAAAAGTTGGTAAACATCGACCAGACTACACAGCGCAATAACCCAGAAGACAGAAATCTTCATACTCACCGCTGTGAAAACCTCAAATCTTACGTAATTCACATTCTTCACTAAATGTTATAAAATTCAAATAAAGATATGGGCTGGTATTTAGCACGAGTGGGTGGATGGGGGGGGGGGGGGGGGGGGGGGGATCCCTCGACTAGATGAAGATGCATACACAGTTTTCGGTGAAAAAGCAGTCGGAAGACCTACGAATAAATGGGAAGATGATATTAAAATTAATCTTAGGGAAATTGGGTGTGTCTCGGAGTAACGGCCGGTGGCGAACTCATGTGAACACGGAAATTAACCTTCAGGTTCCAAAAATGGTGTCGATCTGATAACTAGCTGCGTGCATAATAGGCTTATCTAGCTCGCCTCTGCTCCATTTAGTCAGTACATGTTGGTACTGAGGCAGCATATTCGGTCCTTATTTCAGTTTCCTTGCAGGCGAGTGCTCTTCCGTCTAACACATCGCAATGAGAGAATGCAGATGAAGACACCCAAAAATTGATATCACTTGTTTATTCAGCTAGGGCAATCCTTTTCTTTGTAAATGTTTCAATGGTGAAATTCGTGGTAGTGTAACTTTTCAAATTAAATTGACACAACCGGAGTCTGTTGGCCAACTACTGATTAGATAGTGTCTTTATATAACGTTCGCTCAGTTAGAGACTAGCAACATTCATCTGTCTTCATTCAAGAGAGCAACACTGCAGAGACACGTAAGTAAGCAGCCTCTCGTATCACACTACATAAATAGGCGTGTAAAACTGCATCTAAACTTCGGTAAAGATTAAATATGGGGGTAGGATAGACAGAGCACTGGAAAGTAAACAAACAGCGGATATTCATAATTTATATTCCTCACCTTTATTGTCACAGCAAATAAGCCAAAACCATCGTAGCTGTCAGAGGTTAGCACGCCTTCTTCGTACTTGGGAGGTACCGATTTTCCGCACGGAGAATTCTTTGAGGTTTGTCGTGGCTTTACTCAGTCACCTCATGCAAATACTGAGGCTGGGGACAGCGTTCAATAAGGACACGACCGCTCCTTTCTCCTAATTTCCAATTTATAATTCACGTTTCGTCGCATTATTCTACGCGATACACCCACTTTGACTGTACGCGTCGTTAATTAAACCCAAAATTAATTACTCAGTGGGACAGGTCAAACTGTTCAAAACAACGAACATCAAGGACGCATGATAAATTAATAACAAGTTAAGGAAACAACTGAGTACCTATTTCCCTAATTGCCTTCCATCTGAAAACAGAAATTATATATATATATGAAGATCGGTAATTAAAAAAATTATTAGTCAAGTCGTTCACAAAATTTCTACTAGTATAATTCAGAGAATATGGCCGTCGTTATTTCTTTACATTCTAACATAAAAAATATCTCATATAGTATATGTGGGTGAAGTTTATGATTTTTCACATGCTTAGCTTCAGTGATTCAAGCTGACCATATATCACACGGTAGACATGTTGTATCAAACTGTACAAAAACATCACCTGCACTATAGCTCCTTATTTTTTGAAAGTATATCGCTGCAGAAAATTTTACGCTCATATAGTGTCTCTATTGCTACACCTACCAAAGTCCTTCGATTTATTCTTGGTATGAATGTTTGCTACTCTAATGAAATGATGTTCGTACCAAGTTTCATGAATATTCGCTAGTTTGTTTAGAAGCTGGAATGAGGGACATTCAAGAATAACGTTAGCGTTAACACCGTTTGTAAGCTGCTTATGAAGTCAGAATTTTTTTTTGGTATTTCTAAGAACCTTTCAACTTTTATCATACACAACAGACAAACAGAGCTGTAAAAGGTTAGACTTATATTCGTTGGATAATCAGTATCTCATTCAGTGCTATATGGCCTCTGGAGCTGAGAGTGTTTCTGAGAAATAAAATCCTAAAAGTTATTTTAAAGCATAGAAATATCTAATCTTTAAATAAACATGCTTGTTATTTAATAAGCTTACATAAATATTCGGTGAAATTTAGATAATAAAGCGTAGATTACATGCTCTTGTGACAACCGAATAGACCTAAACCTCACTATCTCCAAATGGCGAGAGTAGTTTGTCCTCAATACGGATTTTATCATCTTATCTGAGGATAAGCGGCCATTTTGTCTCAGTATTGATCCTTCTTCCAACTCTGATCATTACCTAACTCCACAATTCGAATTATGGTGTACTGTCATCAAAATAACAAATTATAACAAATAGGTTGGTTTTTGGAAAATTCAGCAACACATACAGGTTACAAATGCGTATTTATTTCTTCTTAATAATTCCGAACCAAATTTGCAGTGTTCAGTAAATTCGGTAGTATGATCCAAATGCAATATTTTGAAAGGTACGTGACAATGACTAAGCGTTTTGATTAGGGCTGCTGGGCGCTGTATTGTCTGATGTATTCTCGATATACACAAAATATTTGGAGTTCTTTCTAATCCCGTTATCAGGTCATTCAACTGACAGAAGTTTATTTTTTATTCAGCTCAGTGGCGATGGTTGGGACCGAAAACGAAGCTTTTGTGTTTGAATACTAAGCTAGTAGTCAGCGTAATAACCTATTACACGTTCGGCGTCAACGATCACCACTAATCTAAAAAAAAAATAATATTCTGACAGCATAATGCCAGTCACTCGTTAACGAAACCACAGGTAACTTCCGAAACGTCGATTAGTCAAGTCGTTCACAAAATTTCTACTAGTATAATTCAGAGAATATGGCCGTCGTTATTTCTTTACATTCTAACATAAAAAATATCTCATATAGTATATGTGGGTGAAGTTTATGATTTTTCACATGCTTAGCTTCAGTGATTCAAGCTGACCATATATCACACGGTAGACATGTTGTATCAAACTGTACAAAAACATCACCTGCACTATAGCTCCTTATTTTTTGAAAGTATATCGCTGCAGAAAATTTTACGCTCATATAGTGTCTCTATTGCTACACCTACCAAAGTCCTTCGATTTATTCTTGGTATGAATGTTTGCTACTCTAATGAAATGATGTTCGTACCAAGTTTCATGAATATTCGCTAGTTTGTTTAGAAGCTGGAATGAGGGACATTCAAGAATAACGTTAGCGTTAACACCGTTTGTAAGCTGCTTATGAAGTCAGAATTTTTTTTTGGTATTTCTAAGAACCTTTCAACTTTTATCATACACAACAGACAAACAGAGCTGTAAAAGGTTAGACTTATATTCGTTGGATAATCAGTATCTCATTCAGTGCTATATGGCCTCTGGAGCTGAGAGTGTTTCTGAGAAATAAAATCCTAAAAGTTATTTTAAAGCATAGAAATATCTAATCTTTAAATAAACATGCTTGTTATTTAATAAGCTTACATAAATATTCGGTGAAATTTAGATAATAAAGCGTAGATTACATGCTCTTGTGACAACCGAATAGACCTAAACCTCACTATCTCCAAATGGCGAGAGTAGTTTGTCCTCAATACGGATTTTATCATCTTATCTGAGGATAAGCGGCCATTTTGTCTCAGTATTGATCCTTCTTCCAACTCTGATCATTACCTAACTCCACAATTCGAATTATGGTGTACTGTCATCAAAATAACAAATTATAACAAATAGGTTGGTTTTTGGAAAATTCAGCAACACATACAGGTTACAAATGCGTATTTATTTCTTCTTAATAATTCCGAACCAAATTTGCAGTGTTCAGTAAATTCGGTAGTATGATCCAAATGCAATATTTTGAAAGGTACGTGACAATGACTAAGCGTTTTGATTAGGGCTGCTGGGCGCTGTATTGTCTGATGTATTCTCGATATACACAAAATATTTGGAGTTCTTTCTAATCCCGTTATCAGGTCATTCAACTGACAGAAGTTTATTTTTTATTCAGCTCAGTGGCGATGGTTGGGACCGAAAACGAAGCTTTTGTGTTTGAATACTAAGCTAGTAGTCAGCGTAATAACCTATTACACGTTCGGCGTCAACGATCACCACTAATCTAAAAAAAAAATAATATTCTGACAGCATAATGCCAGTCACTCGTTAACGAAACCACAGGTAACTTCCGAAACGTCGATATGAACCTAATTAAGACAATGGGATGTGTTCAACAGGTTACTGGTTTAAAATCCCTGTAAGTTGCTTCCAGAAGTTCCTGTTATATTTCTTGCTTATTGACATCGCTTCCACATCAGCCAAAGTCGAGTTTGCTGAGAATTTAAGACAACCAATTCAGGAATTTTCGCACAAAAGTGGATCTCACTACGTAATATGCTATTCAGACATACTCAGAACTAGTAATCCTTGATACAATTATAGACACCCACTTTAACGATGTTGATCTTCTGAGTTGTGACGCAGTATGGACCTGCAGGTAGATCCCAAGGATTCAGAGAAACATAATGTCTCCATCTTCAGAGAGTATGTTTCTGCTAAACTTTCGTATCTATCTATCTATCTGCGAACAACCCAGGAGACCAACATTGTTATCTTCACCGCCGTGAGAACCTCAAATCTCATGTCTGCGTTAGTTTAATTTGCAACTGCTGTCATCTTCCATCACGGAATCGAGCAAGGGACGTGGGTAAAACACACCTTTGGTCGTGGTATTAAAAATGTATTTCTTTTACGCGTCTACCTGCAAGCACATACTTCACAGCCACTGCTAAATACTAGCGATTTTCTCGAAATCACTGAGTGTAATACAGATATTGTACAAGACATGGATCACTGTAAGTTAATTCAATACATTTTTTCCAAAGCCAATACACGGCGAGGCACGTGATGCGGCACTTAGGCGAATTAAGGCGAACGAAACTCTTACACTGTAATGCTTGAACGTGAAAGTACAGTCGAGCTTACGTTAAGTGGCCCTTAAAATTAAACAAACTAAACCGAAATTTAAAACATCTCGACAAAGTACTGTGTATGTACCATACCAAATCTGACGAGATCGATTACGTAGTTCGGGCGCTGTTACTTAATAAAGGCACGGTAGAATTACTTTGCCGAAATGCATCTCTAGGGCGTATAAAGAATATCTAGGCCATCGCGTCGACTCTGATTTTAAACGCATGAAAAAATTTTCGTAAAGAACTTGCTGTAATGTAGAATATAATGATATATAATAAATTTCGGATGTTCACTTACAATGATTAAATTTTTATCGTCTTTTGGTCGCAGTTTATAGGTCTATAAAATATGACTAACCCAATACGATGTTATTTGTTCTGTACATCTTCAATTACGCACATACTTGCAGTACGCGTTACTCTTGCTGAGAGAGATTGCATTTTACATCTATACAAAGCAACTATTGAAATTATTATTGCTATAAATATAATTGAGTTTATAAAGAAACAACCGTTCTGAGGGTGTAATGTACGAAATAATGCAATTAGTACGACAGGAGGGGCAACAGTCTTTCTTCATTACAGGGTCGTTTCAATATCAATGTTTTATTCCATTTACAGCGTTGAGAAAATGGCTTTCTACATCCAGAGTGTGCATTCGAAAAAATACTTGGATATTAAGGACAATAACGACTGTAAGGGAGCAGAAGTAATTATTTTCGACTTCACCGGTGGCAAGAACCAGCAGTGGAAATACAAGAACGGGAATATCGTCAGCGAACTTAACGGGTACGTACCGATTACTGGGATCGCACTTGTAAACTTCCGGTCTCAAACACGCACGCATAACAGGATACTGTCAGTAACTTTGTAAAACATCACTCAAAAAGTTCCCAAAAATAACCCTAGATAGCAGAATGTTATATTTCACAAATGCTGCTATTATTAGGCAGCTTTTAGAGTGATTACAAAGAAAAGAAAGGCACAAAAAGGATAAGAGGAAAGAAGATGGGGTAACGGGATGAAAATAAAAGGAAAAGTATATCCTGTTGAGCTCAACGAGTCCTTACCAATTAATAAGTAAATATGTATTATAAAAACGGTAGTTCTGGAAGGAAAAATGTTAATCTCAGGCAATACACAATCCGCCTGTCTGCAATTTATCCTAGGCTCCGTTTGAATACTGTCGTCACATCTGGGCCTTGCTTCCGAACGTCGTGGCATTTTGAACAGCCCTACATATTCTTGCTATTCCGGACGTCCTGGATTCGAATCTCGATCCTGATACCCAACTAACATCTTCGTAATTCTCCTTAGTTCATTCTGGCTACTCATGGAGTAGTAGGCCTACCTTAAAGTAGACCACGACCTCTTACTTTAATATAACTCTACGGTATTATAGTCATCCTGTTTCCTCTGCCGAGGCTAAATAGGCCTAGTTGATACAGTGCACTTATTTAACGATGGAATCAGTAGCTCGTATTACATACCGTAGAATGAGTAACGAACTGGGTGGAATTTGCAAGGCAGCGGCCGTGGCCTAACTGAAGGTCTCAGAGCCGTGATCTGAAACCGTGCGTGCTTAACCACTAGACAGTGACGTTCGATGGCCTGCAAATACTCAATATGCAAACATTATAACACAATTTATTCGGTTCCAGGCTTGTTCTTGATATTGAGAGAGGTGAAGAGAGCGGGAAGATCATAATGTGGAGCAAGAATGGAGGAGACAACCAGAAGTGGACCTTCGAAGATGATTTCACGATCAAGAGCGGGCTGAATTTCGTGCTAGATGTGAAAGACGCCTCGAAGGATAACCACACGAACCTCCTAGCCTTTTCTGGGCACGGAGGAGACAACCAAAAATTCCGTGTCGTGCCAGTTAATGATGACTGAGCTATTACCCGATTTCTATTATACATTCAACCACTGATAGATGACACATCTTTTCTATACAAAGAATAAAGCTTATATGTCTTGTAACTTGTTAAAACATTTGTAATTTCATGAGGATGAAATCCTGCCTGGAACTGAAAATCATAAATAAAGTTTAATATTATTTTCCTCAGCCCCGTGCCTGAAGTGATTTAATTGAACGTGGAACGGTATCTCCTCGCATGTTGAAAACTTCATTGTGAGCGGACAAGGTGGACTTAGGCGTTTTCTAAGTGTAAGGAAAACCACGTGAAATGTGAAGCATCTTCTAAGGATTTTCTGAGATTATGAAGTCAAAGACATCGTTTCACAGGTAACAAAGGTTAGGGCACAAAATATTTCCACGAACAGTGCAAAAACATCCTTACCAGAAATGAGATAAATTCGTGAACACATTCGAGTGTAATGTGTAAATATGTGGAGCCCTCTTATCCTTTAGCAGGAGTCATATAGAATTGACGCAGTATGGACCTGCAGGTAGATCCCAAGGATTCAGAGAAACATAATGTCTCCATCTTCAGAGAGTATGTTTCTGCTAAACTTTCGTATCTATCTATCTATCTGCGAACAACCCAGGAGACCAACATTGTTATCTTCACCGCCGTGAGAACCTCAAATCTCATGTCTGCGTTAGTTTAATTTGCAACTGCTGTCATCTTCCATCACGGAATCGAGCAAGGGACGTGGGTAAAACACACCTTTGGTCGTGGTATTAAAAATGTATTTCTTTTACGCGTCTACCTGCAAGCACATACTTCACAGCCACTGCTAAATACTAGCGATTTTCTCGAAATCACTGAGTGTAATACAGATATTGTACAAGACATGGATCACTGTAAGTTAATTCAATACATTTTTTCCAAAGCCAATACACGGCGAGGCACGTGATGCGGCACTTAGGCGAATTAAGGCGAACGAAACTCTTACACTGTAATGCTTGAACGTGAAAGTACAGTCGAGCTTACGTTAAGTGGCCCTTAAAATTAAACAAACTAAACCGAAATTTAAAACATCTCGACAAAGTACTGTGTATGTACCATACCAAATCTGACGAGATCGATTACGTAGTTCGGGCGCTGTTACTTAATAAAGGCACGGTAGAATTACTTTGCCGAAATGCATCTCTAGGGCGTATAAAGAATATCTAGGCCATCGCGTCGACTCTGATTTTAAACGCATGAAAAAATTTTCGTAAAGAACTTGCTGTAATGTAGAATATAATGATATATAATAAATTTCGGATGTTCACTTACAATGATTAAATTTTTATCGTCTTTTGGTCGCAGTTTATAGGTCTATAAAATATGACTAACCCAATACGATGTTATTTGTTCTGTACATCTTCAATTACGCACATACTTGCAGTACGCGTTACTCTTGCTGAGAGAGATTGCATTTTACATCTATACAAAGCAACTATTGAAATTATTATTGCTATAAATATAATTGAGTTTATAAAGAAACAACCGTTCTGAGGGTGTAATGTACGAAATAATGCAATTAGTACGACAGGAGGGGCAACAGTCTTTCTTCATTACAGGGTCGTTTCAATATCAATGTTTTATTCCATTTACAGCGTTGAGAAAATGGCTTTCTACATCCAGAGTGTGCATTCGAAAAAATACTTGGATATTAAGGACAATAACGACTGTAAGGGAGCAGAAGTAATTATTTTCGACTTCACCGGTGGCAAGAACCAGCAGTGGAAATACAAGAACGGGAATATCGTCAGCGAACTTAACGGGTACGTACCGATTACTGGGATCGCACTTGTAAACTTCCGGTCTCAAACACGCACGCATAACAGGATACTGTCAGTAACTTTGTAAAACATCACTCAAAAAGTTCCCAAAAATAACCCTAGATAGCAGAATGTTATATTTCACAAATGCTGCTATTATTAGGCAGCTTTTAGAGTGATTACAAAGAAAAGAAAGGCACAAAAAGGATAAGAGGAAAGAAGATGGGGTAACGGGATGAAAATAAAAGGAAAAGTATATCCTGTTGAGCTCAACGAGTCCTTACCAATTAATAAGTAAATATGTATTATAAAAACGGTAGTTCTGGAAGGAAAAATGTTAATCTCAGGCAATACACAATCCGCCTGTCTGCAATTTATCCTAGGCTCCGTTTGAATACTGTCGTCACATCTGGGCCTTGCTTCCGAACGTCGTGGCATTTTGAACAGCCCTACATATTCTTGCTATTCCGGACGTCCTGGATTCGAATCTCGATCCTGATACCCAACTAACATCTTCGTAATTCTCCTTAGTTCATTCTGGCTACTCATGGAGTAGTAGGCCTACCTTAAAGTAGACCACGACCTCTTACTTTAATATAACTCTACGGTATTATAGTCATCCTGTTTCCTCTGCCGAGGCTAAATAGGCCTAGTTGATACAGTGCACTTATTTAACGATGGAATCAGTAGCTCGTATTACATACCGTAGAATGAGTAACGAACTGGGTGGAATTTGCAAGGCAGCGGCCGTGGCCTAACTGAAGGTCTCAGAGCCGTGATCTGAAACCGTGCGTGCTTAACCACTAGACAGTGACGTTCGATGGCCTGCAAATACTCAATATGCAAACATTATAACACAATTTATTCGGTTCCAGGCTTGTTCTTGATATTGAGAGAGGTGAAGAGAGCGGGAAGATCATAATGTGGAGCAAGAATGGAGGAGACAACCAGAAGTGGACCTTCGAAGATGATTTCACGATCAAGAGCGGGCTGAATTTCGTGCTAGATGTGAAAGACGCCTCGAAGGATAACCACACGAACCTCCTAGCCTTTTCTGGGCACGGAGGAGACAACCAAAAATTCCGTGTCGTGCCAGTTAATGATGACTGAGCTATTACCCGATTTCTATTATACATTCAACCACTGATAGATGACACATCTTTTCTATACAAAGAATAAAGCTTATATGTCTTGTAACTTGTTAAAACATTTGTAATTTCATGAGGATGAAATCCTGCCTGGAACTGAAAATCATAAATAAAGTTTAATATTATTTTCCTCAGCCCCGTGCCTGAAGTGATTTAATTGAACGTGGAACGGTATCTCCTCGCATGTTGAAAACTTCATTGTGAGCGGACAAGGTGGACTTAGGCGTTTTCTAAGTGTAAGGAAAACCACGTGAAATGTGAAGCATCTTCTAAGGATTTTCTGAGATTATGAAGTCAAAGACATCGTTTCACAGGTAACAAAGGTTAGGGCACAAAATATTTCCACGAACAGTGCAAAAACATCCTTACCAGAAATGAGATAAATTCGTGAACACATTCGAGTGTAATGTGTAAATATGTGGAGCCCTCTTATCCTTTAGCAGGAGTCATATAGAATTAGCACCTACGCTTTCCAAATGATCTGTTGTGCTGAAGAATGTAGACTGTTTCAGTTTTGTAATGATCCATGTTATTCCTTTCCTTATTCCATACAGAAACAAAATGAACTTTACTACATTCTTCAGCCTTCAGTCTTACTGTCGCCTTCCAATACACACACTCATGACAAGCCTAGATTTCCTTAAGATGCAGAGAAGAAAACTTTCCTTTGTGTCTACCCATCACCACGTATAAAAATGGAGGTAATGCGTATGATTTCCAAGAGCAATCATTACGACAGTAGAACTGCAAATCCACTGTTGCAAAGTTATGTTGTATCTCTTGTCCGAAGCTACTGGGTTCGAGGTTGCTCCAGAATGACGCCGAGGGCCGAGTGGTCTTTGCCAAAATGACTGACCTGGAAATGTAAAGTCTTTGCATCGTCAAAGTGAGTTGCTTGCAAACCCAAGCACACCGCTTACACCGATGTGTAACCAGATGTTTAATGCAAATGAATTAATAACTAGAGATGTCGGCTGTGGACACTGAACATAAACACTTCAGTAATCGTAATTAGGTCTACAGCATTCTTTGGAGTAAACGGATAAAATTTAACAGGAGTTTTAGGCAAGATAGCCCGTTAAAATGACAATGATATGCCGGACTCTAAAGGGCAATTCGAAATTAAAATTGTAAAATATTAAAAATTAAAACGGTGTCAGCTAAATGGATTTCGCGAGTCCGAATGTCATAATGAACAAACAATCTCAGTATTGAACATAGGCCCTTTTGGTTGTCTTTTATTTTTGTAAACGGGAGTGCGGGCTACAGTCACAGTATAAATAAAGACAGCCCATGTCCTGCCCCAGAATCAAACCAGCTACTTCCCGAAAAAATTCAAGACTTCCTAGCCTGTAGGAGAGTTTCTGCATTCTTGGTTATGGTATCCACACCATCCCCCTGCAAATTGACATCATCAGCATAGGCAAGTACCTGGTGCAGACCATTCAAATTGAGCCCTTCCTTATCCCCTCTGACCTTCCTGATTACATGTTCTACAGCAAAATTAAAAAGCATTGGGGATAAAACATCCCCCTCTTTTAGGCCCTTATGCACTGGAAAGCGATCCAACAGAAGGTTACCTGTACAAACTCTACTTGATACCCCGTCCATACATATCTTAATTAACCTAACAAGTTTCTTTGGTATTCCAAACTCAAAATTACATGCAGTATCTCTTCTGACTGAGTCATATGCCTTCCTGAAGTCCACGAATAGTTTGTGTACTGACCCATTATACTCCCACGTTTTCTCTAATATTTGTCGACTGCAAAAGATCTGATTAGCAGTTGACCTATTACGGCGGAATTCACGTTGATCGTCCCCGATAGTCTAATTCCTAAATGGCGTTAACCGTGCCAGAAGAACATTCGATAAAATTTTGTATGACGTCGACCTCGGAAGTTACTGCATTAAGTTTTGCCCCCGTTTTATGGTTAGGGACAACAATTGGTTCTGTTTCCATTGTTGTGGTATAACTTCCTGGTTCCAAAACCAGACTATAAGCTTATGTGTCTCTGAGTGCAGTGTCCTACCATCTGCATTGATTGGTTCAGCTGGAATTGAGTCAATACCGGGAGATTTGTAACTTTTTAATTTCCCAATGGCAATTTCAACTTTATTGAGGCTCGGTTCCTGGATGAAGTGATCTGCTGCGTGTACTTCAGTCTCTAAATTGATCAGCTAGATTCAGTAAGTGACAGCCTTTTAAGAATCCCATTGGCTGACTGTGAGTTCACCTCCCCTCTCATGACTCATGATAACGAGATGTTCAATGTGCTTATTTCAGAAGAGTCAGTCGTTTACTTATCAGCCGGCTGAAACGTCCATCCAGTGACACGTACGTGTTACCACACAAATATCTCACATCAATTCAATTGCGAGTAATAGTAAGTATTTATCATATTTGGGCAAAAATATCTTGAGAACGCAAAGGCTCCGAATTTAAACACACAGAAAAAGAAACAAACATTCTAGTCTTGCCGTGACTGTCGAACTTATGTGCGTATGTATTCAGAAACGAACTGGTCAAAACGACGTTTTATTGATGCTAAAAATTCATTCTCTAAATGTAGCATACAAGACAAGCAGGCAAAGTTTCTTAAAAACGACTTCATGATTTTTAACGACAGAGAGTGAGAGAACGGGTCAAAGTAAAACATCTTCCCAACTCTAATTCTGACTTTTCAGTTATTCTCGGTCCCTGTAGACAAATTAAAACAGCTTCCTTTCGCGTCATCAGATATTCGCCACTTACAGTAATCGTGCATGTAATTTCTCATAACATTATAGGTAGACTAGATGAAGACAACGCATTCTAAACCTCGAAGTTAAATTCAAATATGTTGTCACCTTCGTGCTCAAAATGCCTTAACCTATGTGTACAGTAGGACCATAAAGGGACACTGACTAAATATTAAATATTTCACAGTGCTCTATTTGCATCAGGTACTGAAATGAAATTATACCAATACATAATGACTGGTGGTGAGGATTGTGATGAAGATCATCTGAACTTTGGTGCTAGAACTCGTAGACTATATCAGAGGTTCCCAAAGTGTGGGGCGCGTCCCCTGGGTGTGGGGAGGGTGTTGTTTGTATGAAAAACTTTTTTTAACGAAATATGGAGAAACATTGTTAACATCCTTTGCTTGGTTGAGGCTTGTCTTACAGTGCTGTACACTCACAGCTAAATTTTATGTCAAATCTGTTTGCTTGCACTTGTTCTGGAAGGGGGGCGTGAAATTTATGAAATGTTTTAAGGGGGGCGCAAGATATAAAAGTTTAGGAACCTCTGGATTATATCATGAGCTTTTGGTCTAGCCTCGCTCAAGTATTCCTTAGATATGGAAGCATTATTATGCAACAACTAATGCTTTATGGGCGATAACACCTCTCCTGACACGTGAAAAAAGTCTAGATAAGGCTACACTTATCTTATCAAAAATAAACACAACGCAGTACTTTGCACCGTTAAAGCCACAAATTCCGAACAACAAACTGACGATAGAATAAACGACTTGTGATATACTGTGGCTTTATGACCCGACTTTTCCTTCTTGGCCATCTTATCCACGGCAGGTACACTGTTATAGAACCTCAAGGTGGGAGGGATTGTCACTTTGTTTATTGAAAAATCAAAATAATGAAGATGGTGCTCGGCAAGTGGCACCCGAACCACGGCGATGTCCCTCACATTCACAAAGTGCTGACACTGTCAGCGAAGGGCATGCGGGAAAATCATCACTCCATTCTGGTCTCGAACCCGACACCTCCTGCACCTCTGAATCAGTAGGTCGTTGAGACATTCGCATGCCAATCAAGGATTTTCTTGGGATAGTAAACAATGACAGACAGAAATACATTATAACTAAAACGTGAACTGTGGTCTTCTAGATTATGACGTCATGAAATCTGGTAGGTGATTACCAACGTTTCGGAGAAAAACATCGCCTCCATCTTCAGGGTATAATCACCCACAACTCTGAATATGGAGGCGAATATGTTCCCCCGAAACGTTTATTCAAGGAAATAACAGCTTTGTTCTGATAACCATACAAAACCTATAAATACATTCTGTGGGTAATATGCAGAGTTACTGAATGTTATAAAGCAAATGATACTTGGCTTCAAAGGGTTATAGAACGACGCTTCTTACAGTTGTAAACGTAAAAAGCTAAATTCGTGTGTAGTAACAACCTGCATTAATATGAATGTACACAGAAAATGCCGTTCGTTATCAAGTGTGTGGCCAACGGGATGGTTCTCGACGTCAAGAACAATGAAAGGATAAATGGCGCTCAGGTGGTATTGTGGCCCTACAATGGGGGAAACAACCAGCTGTGGGAATACAAGAACAACATGATCTACAGTAAACTTAGCGGGTATGTGTTGTCTCGTCTTTCCTATGGTGAACACACCATGCAAAGGGTACTTCTGCATCACTCAAGGGTCAAACGCGTCTTCAACACATAACATTTTGTATGAAGACCTCAACGAGTTTATGCGAGCCGAAGTGACTAGGTGAGAAGTATTCAGGTTACCCTGTTTATCATGAATTGAATTGAATTATTACCTTGGTTAAAAGGTCAAAGGTAAAATTCTGACTAAGCCGCCAGGATTGCTACGCTGTGCATATGTTTCCTGACTTGTTTAAACAATTGCAAACATAAGTGGACTAATTTCAAAACTCATACACAAAATATTTAGATTAT